TCCCCAACTCGGGTGTCTGGGCCTGAGGGCATCACCCCTTAGTCCAGCGCAGGGAAAGACAGCAGCCCAGCTCAGACCTGGCAATGCTCATTCCTGCCCCAATCTAGCCCATTGCAACAGCATCTGCTCCCTGCACCCCCAGGGCAGGTGCCAGTGCCAGTGCCCACCTTCGAAGCTCTGCTTGCCAGAAGCACTTCCTACCCATTGCTGTGAAAGTCCAGGTTGAGTCCAGAAAACACAACCCCTCCAAGCATTTTGGGTGGAAACTGATGCCACTCAGGGAGCAAACATGCACCATATCATAGCAAGGGCTGGTGGGCCAGTCAGGGCAGCCATGCTGGCTTCCAGAGTCTGCCCGCTCTGGGGACCAGGGAAGCTCTTTACATTCGCTGCTACCAAAGGCCACTCATTCAGTCTCAAAGAAATGTCCCATCTCTGTGGCTCGTTCGCTTGCCCTTCGAGGTGGTCTGTAGTCCCCACTGCTCTCCCCCACCTCCATGTCCGCTGCTTAATTCCAAATGTATGAAAGGAAGTGCAAGCCGTCGTTCTCTGGAGGATTTGAAGCCTTGCTTTCCAGAAATCATCAGTTTCGCTCAAATAAACTCATATAAACCCTCTAGGACTTCCGGTAAGATGGTGGAATAGACAGATGCTGTGCCGACTGCCTCCCAGGATCACACCAAAATTACAAGTAATTGATAAGATATTGAACCTCAGAAGTTCCCTGGACCCTAGATGGGCAGAACCTCTAAACGAAGGACTAAAAGAGGAGGCCCCGTCGAGTCTGGTAGGAGGGATGGAGACGAGAGAGGGCAAACCCCGTGAGAGACAGCTCCGTGGAGGGGAGGTTTCTCTGGTTGGAGGAGAGACCATCCAGCCCCACACCGCACTCACCACCCCAGAGTTGCTTTGCTGGGAAGAGGAGTTCTACGATAGCTGGAGGGAGAAAATAGTGAGGACTCTCTTTGCTCAACTCGGTGAGGCTGAGGGCAGCTGGAGAACCAGTGGAGCCAGCAAACTGACTCGCTCACTGGTGAGCACTCACCTGGTTCCTGGTGGAGGGAGTGGCTTTGTGAGCGGGGCCCAGGAGCCTGTGGGAAGGACTGAACTGAGTGCCAATGGCATGGGAGCTGGAGGTTTTTGGGACCATTGTTCCCCTGGTGTGGAGCTTGCACACGAGCAGTGCACAGGAGGCCGCCATTTTTTCAGGGCTGGGCCCTCCCACAGAGGCTCAGGTCTGTGACTGCATTGGTCTGGTGGAATTGGCGCAGGAGTGCATGTGTGCGTGTGAGCGTGCGTGCACATGCGGCCTTGGATACCCACCCTCCATATTGTTTGTGCTGCGTAGCCAGGGAAACGCCAGGCAAGTGCACTCCGACTCCAACAGACTGCATATTGAGACCCGGAAGTGCACAACTCGCCTTATGTCCCGGATTTCTGCACTGCGTGTGCAGAGTTGCCTGGGTGGCGATTGACTGTCAGGCTGCTCGGCCTGATCTTTGAGCGGCTGATTGGGACAGGATGAGACTGGGAGTTTTCCTGGGAGTGTAGGGCCGAGAGCTGTGCACCTGCGTGATTCAGCCAGGGCTCTCCTGGTGACTTTGTGTGGGCTGTCTGCCAATGCAGGAGTGCATGCTGCTCTGACTTGGTGGGGGCCACTGATCACATATTGTGGTGCCTTGGGGGCCTTCCCTGCCCACCTATAGCTGTGTTGTCAGGGGAGCCCTGAGTCCCTGTTCCCTGGCCCCTACCTCTGCAGGCCACAGAGTGTTTTTTGCAGCAGCAGACAGCCCGCAACAACCTGTGAGGATTTTGGGTGGTGAGCACAGTTCCAGAGCACACAGCAACTAATTGTGGGAAGCTCACTTGAAGTCTAGAGGGAGGTCAGCACATGACGCACTGAGCCCTTCCCCGCAACA